AATAGCATTTATTGTATCTGTATGAGCAATATAGAATATAGTCTGTGAATGCTGAGAAAACATTCAAAATATTTACAAAAAAGAAATAATATGAAAATTTAAAATGCAAACCAGAAGACTATAAACATGTAAGTTGTTTTAAAGTGCAGGTTTGTGCTGGTAAACCCGATGAGGTTGCCGTGAACGCACAGAAGATACAGCTGGTCTGCTGTGCATTCTGCAGTGTATCAGTAAGAAAAACATTGGACTGGAGCTGCATGGGAAGGTCACAGACTCCGATGCTTCATCACTATTGTCTACATCAAAAATCACTTGGCAGAATGATTAAATACAAAAAAATCTGACTAAGAAAAACCATCAAGTTACGCATGAAAAATGAGATTATGGCATCAGAATGAAGGTCACTGCAAATATGCTGACCAGGAAATCACTTCAAAGTTAACTGCAGTAAATGTGGCTTGGACCTGTTACTTGAAAAATACATATTTTATATTTGTTACATATCTAGTTTTTTAATGTTTACATTCCACAATTCAGACTGAAAGGACAGAGAGGTGACAAGTTGTTACAAGCATGTCTTATCTAGCAAAGAAAAAAGCCCCTCTGTACATTTGGAAAATGACTGCAACTTTATCCTGGACTATTTTATACATACAGATGCACATATGTAAAAGCAAGAGTGGAAAACTAAAGCAGCAATTAAGCCATGAGAACATGGTCAGGCAGAATAAAAGGTCATCATAATAAATTAGTATAATCTTACACTATGAACATGCATAATGCATAATACCTTAAAACAAAATTTAATGTCTCAGAAAGGTGATGTTTCTATTTTCTATACCATTACAGACTACCAATACATGCGACTTGAACAGCTGCGACTTCAGATGTATCTTAGCAGGCAAAAGTTTCATGGAGTGTTAGGATACAGAGTAGAAACAATTGAAAAACATTATAATGGCAAAGCCAAAGTAATACACTGACTGTGCTGGGCAACAGAGGGCATATGCAGCCCAGCATCATCCAAAGAAAGGTTAGAGGCAGTCTAAAGAACAAGGTGATTATTGTATCTTCATTAGCCAGCAACCTCTTGCTTGATGCAAACACTAGAGCAATTCTGACCCCTTTAAATGCTATTAGCACCTCCAGTGGTTGCCACCACAATGCTGAGCGCCCAAGGCAGGAAAATTATTTCCTTTTATATTTTTAAAATAACAGCATCAGGAAGCTAGACGCAGCAATCATTTTCATATTACATTGACCCTCAATTTAAAACACTAAAAATAGTGTTTACATTTCTGGTGCAGATAAACAGTTTCATCAAATGTTAAGTAAATTTCTCACTGAAATTGAAAGCTGAAAGAGGTGACAACATTGAGGAGCACTGCATCATTGATCCCCTCCATCTGAGGAGGTCAGGGGCAACTTCCACTCTAGTGAGAACCCCAAACCTCACCTAACACTGGCAATAAAGCAGTCTAAAATCAGCCTCTTTGTTTTAGTCTATGCTCCGGTTCTATACTATATTCCAGTCTAGTAAAACCCAATGCTAGAATAGCAGCCACATGACTGACCCTAACGCTTCACAAAAAGTGATTTTAAAGTTTTTTCATCTGTAAGTTGTCACTGCCCCAGCTAACAGGGCAGACCTCACCGTCTGGTGATGGCTCAAGGACCCCACACCCGGAATTCCTGCACCTCGGTGGCAGCAGCCAGCCCGGTGGTGCCAGCTGGGCGACTCACGCGGGTCGAAGCGGGGTCCCTTGCTGCCGCCAGCTCTTCTGCAGATTCAGCTCCTTTAGAGAAGCTGTCGTGCCCACGAGAGAGGCTCCTTCTGGGACAAGGGATCTCCCCCAGGACTTGCTGCTCTTCTTGCACCCTCACCAAGAGGTCCACCCCCTGCTCCTCCTCCCTGTCTGACAGTCTGTGCAGCTCATGGCATGCAGGGCTTGCTCCCTCTCCACCCGGAGCTGGTTAACCCTTTCCTTGGAATGACAGCAATGCCAATCTTTGCACCTAAGGAATCCCTGTGTCTGCTCCCACTGTTACTGCCCTGAGTTCATCTGAAAAACACAGTAAACACACCCGCTGCTCCTGTACCCGAGACTCTCTGCTTTAGGTTTCTCTGCTAGACAGTGCTGTTTCAAAAATACCCCTTACAAGTGATAAAGTGGCCTTTCAACAGCTTCTCCACCATTACTTGTCCTTCACAATAAGCATTATTTTCAATCTCTTTAAAGCTGCTAATACAAGACCAGTTTTAGAAAGTTATAATTTACCATATAATCCTCAGCTATGTAAAGGTTATTGCCACAAGAAATTAGTTGGTTAAGGCTTTCATCAGTCTTTTAAAAAATGATTACTTAAGTCTGCCAGTTGAAATATAACATCTAATTAGGAATCCTCTGAATAATCATCTATCTTGGATATTGCTTTGATAAATGAGGCTTAGGAGTCTTAAGAAGTCTTAATTACCAATATTCCAGATGGCTAAGAGTGGTACAGTGTTCCTCTGGGTATGTGGAGCAATGGAACACATCTATATTATTTGTGACTCTAAAGGCACATACCCAGGTCACCTTAACATCAGGTAACCATGATGGCAGCTCCACAAACAAACGAGGCACACTGCTCACACAACGCCCATCCAAGGCAGCAGGTAACACATCTTACACTTCTCATAAAAGCCATTCAGTATCTAGGGTTACAAGACCAGTATCGTGTTCAGGAGACAAAGCCCCAAAGCCTAAAATTAGAAGAGACTCATGTCACCATGTGCAGCTTTAGAGACCAAGATGTCTCCTAAGCTACCTACAAAGATGGCACTTAGAGCACATCCGAGGGACTACATATCTAAATGGAGTCAACAAGCCTTTGTGCCAAATTAAATAAACTTTTCCTTGTCTAATGATGTGGAATGAGCGGCCATCCTCATAAGGATTCAGGCAAGCAACTCCACTGAGCCATCAAACCTATTTCACTCCTTTGAGAAGATGCAGCATGCAATTTCCAGCCAGCCCATGGTACAGAGCACAACGGTCTCCTGTCAGTAAATCAGCAGCCCCATCCCTGCATGTGCTCCCTTCCCTCCAGCACCCTAGGGAGCTGTTCCATCCTTAGCAATGAAGCTAACTGCATGCTGAGCACCTTCTGATGGCTTTTTTTAAATTTTATTTTTATATCTGAGTAGTTGTGGGTTGAAAGCAACACTAAGAAGAGTTAAACTACCAGAAATCAGGGTTGAAATCCATTGGAAAGATTCAGCTTTACCAGGCGACAAAATGTCAGTTTGCAACAGTTTATACAAAAATGGCACAAAGCTGCTTCCCCTCTTCAGATGTGTCCTCCTGCTTTCAAAAAGTCATGGCATCTCTCCCATGTCCAGCAGGAACACCCTACTGTGATACCAACTTCAGCTTTTAAACACAGACTCCTGAACTGTTTGCATCCTCCCTCTCCTACCAGGTTAGCATCATCACAGCTGGTCAGCACAGCAATCTACAGGAGCACCGTTCCCATCATCCCAGTCTTCAGTGGTGGGGAAAGGCATATATTGAACAATATAAACTATACCTATAAAAGTTAAATTGCACATAAACCCATCACCTGGCACACGTGAGTGCTTGGGTATCTGATGAAACCATCTCTATATCCAGTGTGAGAGATTAGCATACAGCAAATGAAATTCTGGCCTTGAGCAGTGGTGCCGACTGCGGGATTTCACAGAATCACACTTGTACTAGTCTGATTCATTAAACCTCTTGGAGAAGGCAAGTGGTCTTAAGTACCCTTCAATATCAACCAGTTGTTACTAAGTTTAATTTGGGAAGAGTTTTGCTCCTAACAAGCAGCTGGATAAGAAGAATACAAACTAATTTTGGGACCACGCTTTCAGAGACAGAGATGGATCCGCTCAATCTACTATGTAAGTCTAACTTTCTACCTTTTAAGTCAAAGAAATAAAAGCAGCCTTATCTGTAGTCAATCTTTGCAAGTTTTAGTGCAGTTTTCTTCTGAGGATTAGCCTCTTCACATCCCAAGCATGCAGATTGCACTTCCTGGCAGTACATGAGTGCTAAACCACACACCATCTTCTTTTGTAGCAATCAGATGGAAAGAAGCACCTGGGAAAATCTTTGACAAGCCAGTCTGTTTAACATAATATATCCTGTAACTCTTGGTTTCACTTAAACAGGTAGAACAGAGTATAACCACAGCTGCCAAAGCCTTTAGCAAGTCTCATTTCTCCGCAGTCAGTGATCTGCAATCTGATAGCATCTTATTGACTCAGGAGTTTTTTCAGGCATTTGCAGTACAGCTCATGTAGACAAATACATTTATCATCTGGAGGTGAGAATGCTGGAGAGGGTATTTTATTCAGTGTAGAGATTATTTTAGATTGACTTCTCCAGCCTAACCTCACCTGAAAATGCAGAAAATCCATTTCCATGGTTCCTGTCTGGGGATTACCAGACCTTGCAGAGTTCTAAAGTGCAGATATAAAGCTCCTCTTGCTGACTCCAAAATATTGCTATCTTTTCCCTTTTATATCTTCAGATAATTTCTTACACATACAGAGAAAATCTCCTGTGCTGGAAATCTGAATCAAACTTCCTTCACCAGATAAATAAATATTTAGGCTGTAACCTAAAAGTTAGTCCTCTTAGCTTTGTGGAAACTTGATTGAGTCTGAAAAAAATCTCCATTTAGAAGGCAAGACTAGAGCAAAGATCAAGTTTTATGTATTTTTGACTGATGGAAACAAAATCAGGAAAAAAGATTACTGAAAATATTTTATGCAGCTGCATTACAGTCAAACACAATCCAACCATGGAATTACAAGCTTACAAATAAACCTGCAACAAGTTTGCATTAACCACAGCTCAGACACCTCAAATTCTACAACACACTACACGTTTTGACAGTACCAACACCTCACTGAAATACATTTTTTAAACCTTCAAATTACAAAATGCCGATACAAATCGAGGCTTACTCACACAGGTTACTTTCCGGTAAATTTGAGCAGCATTCTGGCATTCTGAGTAAGGGTATTCTGAGGTAGCCATTTCCAACATGCACATTCCAAAAGCATAGACATCCACAGATTCATCGTAGTGTTCCTCATACATTTCCGGGGCCATGAATTCTGGTGTACCTACACAGACATGCACCAAAACAAAGTAAGTTTTTGATAAAGTCTAAATGGCTTTAACCACAATCTTTTTTGCCCATAAGAAGTGTGCCTATTGTAGCTGTGTAATGGTGCATGCAAGATTATTTCAAAAGACGGAAGTAACTACAATAAGGGAAGAAACCCAAAATCACAGACAGTTAAATATCCATCGCTCACTGGTAATAATACAAGGGAGAAGAGATAAAAAGTATCAAAACTTCAAAAACGAATGAGGTATGGCACACTGCCTGATCATACTAGAAGTCATGAAATGTTTTGTTTTTCTGGGTGGAGAGAGGAATGTGTACAGACTTATGGAGGTAAAAAGGAGAAAAGAAATGAGAACCTTCACTCTTGTTTTTATCAATGCAAAGTTGCATTTTTTTCCCTCTAGAGATATATAGCAACCACTCAGTAGACAGACAGCACTTTGAAAGCAAGTAGTATCACAAACCACCTATAAAGTCATGCACAAACATTAAACCTAATTCTGTCAGTGGGACAAATCAGTGAGGCTACTCACAGAAATAAGGTCCTACTCAACAGGGATTAGGGTGACAGAAGTCTGATGAAACTGGATAAATATTTTAAGTGAAGCACAGTACTTACTGCTTCACAATGGGAATTTGCAGCTTTATGGCAAAGCAGCAACTTATGCCTGCAACATTTGCAAAGCAAACTGCTCTGAAAAGTGTGGTCTTGTAAAGCAAAGGGAAAAAAATTAACAGATCGGTAATTTATTCCAGGAACCATATCTCGTAATGTAATTTATGCTTAGGAGTCAAGACAAATTTATTTCCTGTTTACATTTAGAAAAGATGAAGAGAGATCAATGCAATCATGTGTTGCAGGAGAGGACCAGCAAGCCATGAACACCAGGATGCCAGAAGGAGCACAAGAGGTTTCAAGACCCCCTGAAGGACCCCCCTTAAGACCTCTGCCCATCCAGCCCAGCAGCAGCCACCTCCGCACCCAAACTGCCCTCCAGATCCCCAAGGGAGCGCGGCTGTCCCTTAGATTTTTGTTTATGGCATCTCTATTATCAGCAAAAGCACAACTGCAACTAAAGGAACACATGCTGGGAAAAAACAGTTCTGGGAAAAAGCAAAATATTTGGGGACTTTTCTTCTCTTAATGGCAACATAAAGGATGTCTCTCCAAATTAGGGTCTGTCCGTAAAAACTCTGCTTTTGCATATTTTCTGAAGTAGACATGTCCTAATTCACAAAACAAGCCTTAGCACAAGCATTTTTGCAAAGTGAATTTCACAGAACTCAGGATCGATCTCTCCTTTTTCATGTTCTTTCTACCTGATAGACACTCATTCCTTCAGGCTCCGTAAATCAGCCAGACCCACATCATGAAAGCTCAACTTAGCGCCTGCTCCTCGGGTTTTTCTCCCAGCTGTCACATAGGCAGTGGCGGCTGCTCTGAAATGGTTAACAAATGCCATAGAGAATTTTTTTTGCAGCTGCTACCTTGTTTTAGAAGGAACAGAACTTGGAGGCAGGAGTGAATCTCATGAGTTATGGAGCATTTAAAGCAAATCTGAAAAGGTGGTAGTGATAGTCTAAGCAGCAAATGAAATGCCTGACACCATTCCAAAACAGATGAAAAGTACATTTTCCCCTCATCCCTCGAGGGTGGGAAGTAATACACACAGATATCCTTACAGAAAACAGACCACCTAAACATAAAGCCACTCAGCATCTATTCAATTCCTCTTGGCAGAAGGAGCTTTGCCATGGCTGGGCTCCCTGCAGAGATACACTGCAAGGTCACACGAGCATCAGTGATGGCACAAACACAGCAAGGGAAAAACTGGACCTCAGCCATGCTGACTTCATTCAGTTCAATCCGATGTAAAATTGCAGCTACTAATATTCCTTTAAAGCTACTACATCTACGGAGGGGGTAGAATTACTCATCTCACCAGCGTTTCCAAGCCCTCCTAATTCCTTCCTTGGAGCAGCACTACTCAAAAAAAAGAGAAGCTTGGTTACATTGCCAAAATGAATGCAGATACCCTGCCATCAGCCTGCAGCTCTTTTCCATACTGAATTTCTTTTAGACAGGAGCATGCTTTGACGGTGTTGTGTAACAACGGATTTTACAAAAACTTGTACTGGTATTACTGATATTATTCCCAGTATTAGTATTACTGATATTTTTCCATTATGTCCCATGGACAATTGTTATGTTGAAAAAAAAAAAAGTGAAGAAATACAGATCCTCAACACGAAAAACCCCACCAATTATTAGAAGCTAAAACCAAGAGAAACTTAAAAGATAAAAACCAACATGATTGCATGAAAATCAAGAAGGTTAAGCAGACTAACAAGTAGTCTAGGCGAGTACATATCCAAAATTTCTATCATTTTGACTTCAATGATACTGGAGTCCCCTAAGCATTAAGGTTAATACTTTTATAGGAGTAATTGTAAAGAATTATTATATCTGAAAGTTTGTGATGCTAAAATAATTATTTAAGCAACCACTGCTTAAAAGATAGGATACTATTTTCACATATACTAAGGGAACAATGATTGTCACGATCAGTTTGCTAACTAATTACCTAGAATCTAAGTTTCATTGATATTGTAAGCTGAAATATGACTGCATGCATGATAACGCCCCCCACTTTCACCACAATTCCTCAGGAATTTGCAGCTTCCTAAAACCACCACCTATAGATCTGAACAAGGGAGATTTGCTATGGAAGCTTGAGTAAAAAAAAAAAAAAAAACAAAACAAACAAAACACACCAGAAAAAAAAAAAAACAAACCAAAACCACCATAAAATGTTTGGGAATTCAAGGAGACATTACATTTATATAGAAAACATTAAATGTAACTTTTGCAAGGAAAAGACTTTCTTCAACAATCATTCAGAAAATGTCCTCCCAGTTCAAGCAAACCCAAGTTCTAACACTCCTCACACAGGCACTACCTAAGTGCACCAGCTATTGCATAAGCTAGTAGAAATTTCATACCTACTGATTTTAAATTAATTGCAGATGTTGTTTCAGCAGAACTCTGCCAGGACAGTGCCAAGGCAGGGATGAGCTCTGCAGTTGCCTGCAGAAGCAGCCTGTTTTGCTGATGCCCCAGTAAATAGGGGTAAGGTGTTCCAGGCAGACCAGCTCTCTGTGACCTCTCTGTAAAGGAAAGAAGCCCAGCTCCACAGGGCACTACTGCCTCTCCCTTCAGCAAAAGTATCTGTCCCTGTTCCAGAATCACTAGAAGCAGAAGACTTCCCAAGGGCTTCCCCAGGCTGCTGCAGCACTCCCTTGTTTGGGAGAGCAGGGCATTCTTCCTCTTCCCTCTCCTCTTTCTCCCGCCCGCTCCCCCAGCAGGCACTGAGCCTGTTCTCAGGAGGATGAGGCACACAAGCTGCTGAGAACGCTTGCTGCTCCTTTTGAAGGAGAGAGGAGAAGTATCTGTGGATACCAAGTAATATTTCAATTAAAAAGCAAACCAAAAAAGTGTTTTACTATTGCAATACAGAAGGAAGGAGAAAAGGAAGTCATGATACCATTCCCTACTGATTTTTATAGTGGTATGAAGGGAACAGTCACAAAACTACTTTAATCTCTGCTACCAACCTACAAGTCAAAAAACCACCAATAAAAAATGTGAAAGAAAGATATTAAAAAGACAACCACCATACCAACAGAAGGAAGCCAGGGAGAACAGGAGGATTACCTATCACACTTTTGGCAAACGAAGCTCTCTTGAGGGTTGCCAGACCCAAGTCTCCTATTTTCACAGATCCAGTTGGTCCAGTAATAAAAATGTTGTCGCATTTTAAGTCTCTGTGAATTATTGGTGGAGTTCTTGTGTGCAAGAAAAGAAGACCTTTCAGGATTTGCCGGCACCAACTACGCAGAACTTTTGGTTTCATCACTTTAAATCTTTTCAAATACCTAGAGCACAAACATACACAGAAGTGGGTACAAAGAAAATGAAGTGTTACTAGAGATTCTAGGGACTTTAGCAACTGAAACTCCATTCTGGATAAAAGCCCCTTATTAGATATCATAATAGCAGCTCAGAAATATCACAAAACTGAAAAGAATACATCGTTTCAAAGGAGGAATTAAAGCATTCATTTTTAGGGAGAAAAATAATAAGCATTTCTGGTGAAAATACAACCAAATCTTTGCAAGACTAATAGTACAGCAATTCATCATGCAGAAAGAAGCTTCAGAATATGTTTCATATTTTTAACCATGAGGCATTGACCTCTGTACCATGCACCTGCATTTTTTCCATTTACCTAAAACACTGACTGGGAAGGTACATTTTGGAAAAGATGTAAAACCTGCTAACGCACTGGCAGAGTAGCACAACGCATATATGCAATGAGTACTGCTCCCATTGGGGCTGAAAATCTGTTCCAGAATTTATGCCAAATGCTTTGTATCAACCTTAACAAGATTGTCAGTACCAAAAGCTATTAATATTATTTAGTAGATAACCTAGAGCACCTTCTGCTTCAAAAAGAGATTCTACCATTCAAGTGCTACTCTATCCGAATTTTCTAACAAAACATGCAAATACAAGTACAAAAGCAATCACAAAAACACACTCTGACAAATTAAAACGTCACAGGCATAAGATGAAACACACCAGAGAACAGATTCTAGTTGTGTAACTGAAACAGGAGAGCAGGGAAAGGGAGATGGAGGCCAAAATTCTTCCTGTCAGATCAATGCAGTTCAAATGCAGGGACAAATAACAGGCACCAGAGAACAGCTCTATATTTTTTTTATCTAGAGATGCCTTTTTTCAGAATATGAAAGTAGGATTTTTCTAAAAATTTCCATCGCTATTCTTAGCCTCCTCACCAGGAGCGCAGTACTTACGTCTTTAGTGTTCCAGAGGTCATCAATTCAGTAACCAGCACGATGCATCTTTTGCCTTTTACACAGGATTCCCAGAAGTCATAAAATCTCACAATGTTTGGATGCTGTAGACCTTTCAACATTTCTGCTTCCTCTTTAAATCTCTGCCTCTCTACTTTTGTGAGTTTTCTGTCCTACAATCCAAAATAAGATATTATTAGTAATGAACAAAAGTAAAATGAAGGCACTGCACTACTAGGGTATTTCGAATTTTAGATTGGTTTTATGCTTATATCAAGAGAAATTATAAAATCTTTTATGCAGGAGATGAGCAGCCTGTATGAACTAGGGCACTCGCCTTAAATCCAGTATCAAGGCGACAAAGACTTGTCTCCGAACAAAGATGTCTGTGCTATTCAATGCATTAATATTTCAAGCAACAAACACATCTGTGGCTTGATGGATCAACACACATCTATATACTGCTTGTTTTGGTTTTGTGAGGCTCGTTATCTGAATTAACACACAGAGGATTTCACTTCCAGGTAAGAGTGGTTTTACCACTACGCTGCTGCCGTCTTGCTGCCATGACTGCTCCTGGGAAGTGATGGCTGTGACCACCCAGTGAGCTTCCCTGGCAACAGCACTGGGCTGTGCGGCCTATTTCTGTAGAGACAAGTTAAAAACAGTACCACCCTCCAAAAAAACAAACACATTTTTTTTATTTGCTTGCTATTCTGCCTAATTTTACAGGCTCCTCTATAAAGTTAACAAAGGAAGGATTTAAAACTGTTCTTCAGCCTCTTATAGGCTGCACATTGGCTGCATGGAAATACTTATTTGTTTAGATTAGAAACATGAGAAATGTCATGTTCTACTACTCTGGTTTTCCTATAGAAATTTAGAAGCATTTACCACAAACTCTAGGATGTGGTGACACTGCAAGGAGCACACAGACCCCCTCTCCTCCCCACCGCAGGGTCAGCAGAGGCCTACGGGGCTGCCTGAACCTCATGAGCAACATGGAGACCCCTACACCAAGCAGCTCAGATGCATGCTCCAGCCTCTTTAGATGATGTAAAAGAGAAAAATTGGAGTTTTACTGAAGACCACACCACTGTCGCCTGGTTTGTCTCCCCCAAACAGCTGGTTAGGCTGGGAGCACTTCTCCACTGCTCTAGAAACAAAGGGGGTTTGTTCTTTAAAAGGCACAACTGCATAGCTCTTTTCTTACAGAAGTGAAGGCTCACAAACCACTAATATTAATTAGTTCATACTTTAGACATACTCCCTTCCTCAGTTCACTTAAGCATGTTTATAAGAGCATATACCTATTGAATTAAATTGGCACGCAGCTGATTTGTAACCAAGATTCAGGGGCATCAGGCCACTGCTGTTTTGATAGCCTGCCCTCACCTGCAGTAGCAAAGAACTCGATATGGGAAGGAGAATTTCTGCAACTACAAACAAGTCAGCTTTACACAGAGACTTCATGAGAGGAAAAGCAAGGTTGAAACAATGCTTTGGCTCTTCTTGGAAGACAGAAAAGCTGCTTCTCCAGTGGCGTGTGGAACATTTGCCTTTTACACCATGGCTGCTGAGGAGGTTCTCGGTTTTCTTTATAGCTTACGGAGCAGCATCAGAGCTAACACTGCCCCAAGCAACAGCAGCCACCTGGGCTGGCATGGCAGGGTGCCCCAGGGGACCAGTGCCAGATCCCCAGAGCACCCCATGCCCCCAACACCAGCAGCAGAGAGCACAGCAGTGTTTCTGCTTTTCTGTAGCAACTGCAGTTTTTCTGTGTTTAAAAAAAGAAAAAAAAGCTCGTGCTGTCCAATGAGCCAGGAATGGAGAGCCTGAGAATGCTTTCAAATCCATCACTTCTGCCCCTACTGCTGAGTTTCCTCTCTTAATTTAAACCCTGTAGAATAAATCAGACACACTACTATTAAGGAGGAAAAGGAGCAAGTTCTTGTGTGAGACAGGAAGAGCAGAGTGTGGGCTAGCAGAGAAAGGAAAAGGCGGTGACACAGATCCAGCAGTTTTTTAAAAACCTTCTAATTAAAAAAAGGGTAATACCATACCCCCTGACTCTCATTTCCAGATTTCTGAGCACTGTGAAAAATTTTCCACTGGTACTTTAAAAAATATCCTTCAGACATTGCAGACAATCATATTCTGTATATTCTACATATTATGGGTGCCAGATCATTTGGGCTGTTGTCTGAAATCAAAGTATTTAAATGGGCAATTGCAACAAAGTGATTCTGGCAGACAAATATATTTTATCTATAACTACAGTAGAAAGAACCTGGATTTTTTTTTTTATCAGAATGATAGCTGAGCACCTCTGTCAGAAGAAAGCCTGGGTACCAGTACTAGCACTTGATGGCGAGGCAAGGGCAGGGAAGACGCGCAGGCAGGGCCTGGGGCAGAGCAGCCAGCCTTGCATGCTGTGCTCCCTGCCACGGGAGGAGTCACCGGCACTGCAAGGATTCAACCTTTCCTAAATTCCTCCAGGCTGAGCCTGACACGTGAGTCGTTGGCCAAAGCATAAGCTGTTTCTGAAAGGGCTTAACAGTTGCACTGTTTTCTATTCTGAAGCAGCAAAACCACCCATTTAACTGCATGACTAAACTGGGGTTTAATCCAAACTCAAAAAATCTTCATTGGGATCACAGGCACTTATTCCCCATCATATAATCCACACAAGGTGAAATGTCTTTATGCTGAACCTAAGGGTGTAAGCCTTAGAACCTTAGAACATCAGATTTTAAGATGGGGAATAGGAATCTTTGAAGTGGTTATGCCAAAGCTAATCCATTTTATTGGATTTAAGGCATCACTTTGCATAACCCACATTTATCAAAAGCTAGGGGAATGAAGCAAGTTTCCAGGTTCATCCAAGGAATCATCAACAATCACACTATCTGCAGCAGCAGATGTTTACAACATTCTACAGCTGAACAAGGAGGTTCAGGGACGCTGAGGTACACGACAGCCCTGCTCCTACGTAGTTTCACAAGTGCAACAGCAGCATCACGCCAAGTTGAGCAACAAACTTGTCTGTCAGTCTGCTCCACTGCATTTATGGCATTACTACTATTCTGAGCTTCCTCAAGTCATGGGACTTGAATCTTGGAAAACCTTCTTCCTGATGTGATCTGGTAGATATCACTATGAGTTTGCAGATATCTACAGACTTCGTCTTGTTTTAAGGCATTCACACTTCACGGCTCTTTCCCTCCTTTCTGGGACACAAAGTCTTAGCTCAGGAGGCAATAGTGTAATTCCATTTCAAATAATTGAAAGCTTCTTGAGCCTACTACTTAGCTCAAAGGTTTCTAAAACAAAACTTCAATCTTCAGGAGTCCACAGCAATCGCACTGAGCTGGTCCAACTTTTCCAGGCAAACTGAAGTCAAACAGAACCAAGCAAGACAGCTGCTGGGTTTGTGTTACTGCCAAGAAAGAATCCATACATTTAACTTGTTTCTCCATCTCAAACTGAAAAAAAAACTTGAGTACAGACCTTGATGGTGGCACAGCTAGAATCAGAGCACCAGAGGGAGTGGACAGAGTAACAAGGAGCTTTCTCACCCTCAGAGCTACATCTGTATCAGCTTTGCAAACACATACACGATGCAGACTCACTGCCTGCTATTTTACTGCAGTGCCATAGCTAGAACCATGCCTAGCAGCAATGAAAGCACTAAGTCCTACAAAACACAAAAGCAGATAGGAGACTTCATCGACTGCTATGCAGCCTACAAACAGGCTGGTTTAAAAAGGCATTCCCCAGTGTAGCCGTGCTGATCCATGCTCAGCTGCCTTAACCCTGAGCTGAGAATTAGACATTTTGTCACTACAGCTACTCTGGGCTCCTGCAGTTAAGTGCTTATGGAGCACTTCTGAGGAATAAGCCACACCAGCAAGCGTTCACGGTGTCTTCAGGCACAGCATCACCAGTCACATAAACACCGTCCACTCTCTCATACAGCCTGTCTGGCTTATCGCTCCATGATTTCTCCTTTCCTATAGATAAATAAGCATTAACTGGGTTGGGGTTATACAATGTATCCTTCACTATGAAGGGCAATCTAACATATTAAACAAGTGGTAAGAAGAGGTTATAAATTGTGAACTATCCTTCATTGATTTTCCTAGCTTTCCTGTTGCAAATCAGATAACTGCATGGTCAGTTTTAAGCATCAAACCACTGAAATCTATTCTCTTCTTTCTGGAAGGAAAAAATAATTCCCAATTAGTACTTTACAGTAAATTACACACCCATTCAGGGAGACTGGAGTAAAATTATGTTTGCAGCGGGAAGCTACATTAAAATGAGTTTCCTGCCCATAAATCATATTTCTGCTAATCTAACACACATAAGTTCTCTACTTCTCCCTACTCACTGCAGACAGGGCAAACAAATTCTTCTCTTTGTTAATATAAAATTTATCCCTTCATTAAGTTCCTTAGTAGGGAACAGCAAAGACTGGAATTAGTAAGTAAATGTGTTAACAAAATGAAAGAGAAAGCTTACTAATTAAATTTCTGGAATGACACCCAAATTAACAGCAGGAACATGTTCTGTTAGTCATCCCTAAGCATCATTTCCTCCAGGTTGTAACATATGGGGTCTGACTAAGACTTTGAAAGTTATACAAGCAAGAGACTGGCTTTCACCTGAGTCTTTAGAAGATTTCTAACAGATTAAAAACTGAGGCCAAGTTTCTTGCCTACTTACTTTTGAGGGGCTAACAGATTTATTTGGAAATAAACTGCATCCGCATCCCCTGAGGAGAGGGGATCAAGTGAAAGAAAAATAAGACCACACACAAATATTTTTTACACAGTAATGCCTATAACCATGTAAGAGCAGGGTCTGAAGCATGGCTGTTACCAAACTAGAAAGCTATGCTGCTTTGCAGTTTCACTGTGTTTAAGTTCCTCCTTTTAAAGTCCTGAATTTTCAGTAACAAAAAAAAAAAAAAAAATTAAACTATTTAAACACTTTATAAATGGCAATAACTTAAGAATAAACTCATGCTTGCTAGTGAATGAGCCTGTGCCTCACGTACTGCTGGTTTTCAGACAGCCAACTGTCCTGTCTCACTCTGAAAAGGCCCTTTGCTATTTTGAGAGATCCCTCCTCAGCAAGTTCACACTGTCTGTTTAGCATGTTATA